TTGGTGCGTGTGGTAACTTTTCTAAGACTTGTGGTAACTATACTCCTCACCAATAGATAGCACAAACCTACCGCATTTTATTTCTGTGTGTATAGTTTAGGTTTAGAATACTAATAAATAGGACTAATAAATAGTACGTTCGAAAATGGGTGCATATATGCGGGGCGGCAATAAAATGTCCAGCTAAGTTTCTAATCTTGACGAGGTCTACAACTTTACTAAAGACACCAAGTGAAAATTTCCAAATTTTAGTCAAGAAAAATACTTTTCTAACTTTGAATTTTCTTGAAGCACCCACAATGCGAATGGGTTTGTAGAAATTTAGCTTTGGGTTTATTTTGATAGCCCATCAAACGCGTATAATCATCTTGAAATTGGCAACTCTGAATAGTCGAAAGAAATTAAGAAACAAAAACAAATTTATAACTTATTTTGACCAATGAGAGTATACTTCTGTTTATTGTTATTCTAAACCCATAAAATAAGTACTTTCTCTTTACACAAATCAAGTCTTATGAACCATTCTCGATTGTATCACAGCCACAAACAGTCAAAATACATATTGTTGCTTAAATATTTTCAAGTGGAAAGAAATTTCTAGGGGAAAAGAACTATTGGTATATTTGCTGTATTTTACGAATATTCACAAGCATTTGGGCTGCGTTCCGCAGTGTAATTGTTTTCTTTTGTTGCTTCGTCTCATTCGTGGCGAGCACGAATGAAAGTTGCAAATACGCATATTCAATTCACTATTATCCACAGCGCATTGACACGCATTGACGCGTATTCATCCAAATCCGGTAGAATATGTGCTTAAGCACAATGATTATTAAGAGTATTTATATTCGCATTTATTCAGTTTATTCCCCCTAGAGAAACCTACTCTTCTTTTTCGAAAAAAAATTCAACAAAACATACTCGACTCTCGATCTCACTTATAGAAGTGTTGGTGTTGGTAAGTCGATTTCGAGACGATGTTCAAAATACAAATCCGCCTGGCTTCGATTGTACGCATCGCCCAACGATTTGGTTTTATGCAATATTTATTTATTGTAAATTTGTCTACAAATTACAGATTTTTTCCAACCCTCCAACAAACGTTTAATGCACAAAATAAACATAACCTCAATTTCGAAATTTCCGAAATTTGAATGTATTCAGGATAAATTATCCCCACAAAAATCTGTATTGGTTTTGATGCTCATTCAAATTTCGTATGAAAATTGGTTCATCTGAAATTATTCTTATTTTGTGTGTGTGTGTGTGCGCGTGTGTTTATTCATGCCTTTGAATAATGTTGACAAAAAAACATAGCTGTTTACTGATTGGATTGTGTCCCTCCACAACGCTCATCTTATTATACAAGAAACACATAGTTTTGATACTCCAATACAATCATCGTGACAAAATGCACCACACTGCTGACAAATCACCATTGCATTCAACGAACAAGCACAATTTGGTGGCGTATTCTCAACACTTAACGTGTAGTTTTGCAGCGTTGGTTCAACTCTTATATCACTGTATATTATGTCTGAAAACAGAAAATTGAATAAAATAAGCGCAAATCTGGAGATTTATAATTTCATATTCATGTTTACTCTGATTGGTCATTTTTCGGTGCGCAATAGGTTGAGCTGCTGAGTTCGTGTTAACTACTTGTTGCACATCCGAAAGAGTAACATTTTGCGAATCAACGTCGACTGATGCTGGTCTCCCCCGTATGCTGATTGGTATAGCACTTGTTCCACCTTGAATCTGCACATGTGCATTATTATTTTGATATTTTGGTTTTGAAGTCAAACACATACAGTGTGCCGATCAAAATTTTGGGTACGACTAGCGAGCAAAGTTTTATTATGCATAATCAACTTGCAATACATGATTTTGCTAGATAGTACATATACTTTCAAACGCCGTTTGCAACAGTATTTTATAGAAAAAATGGTCGTTTTACCCAAACTTATGATCGGTACTATATATTTAGCAGATAGCAAATTAAACAATGAAAAAAAGCAAACAAATAGAAAACACAAAATATGGCTATGAGATACTAGTATAACAAGACATTATACGTAAATGTAGCTTATTAAATTACAAGTTTAAAAAATGGTTTTGCATTTTTATTATTTGAAAAATATGATAGTAGAACACATAATAATGATAAAGGAGCTAAGGTCAATAAAATGCAGTGAATACATTCACCTAACCTAATATCTATTCCTAAGCGTTACCTCCTAATTATATGTAGCTATGACAATGCTTTACATATTAAAAATTGAACAGTTCAATTAATTTTATTTTAGAGTGTTAGCCACAAAGTCAACATAGCTGCAGCTAATTTGGAGATAACGCTTTGGAACAGATATTACGTTAGCTGAATTTATTCAGTGAATACTATTCACTGATGATAAGAAGCAAATCGACAAACAGTGTGTCACAAACTGCTAATTGTTTAAAAAAGGCTCTAATTTCGAGGTCATTATTGGATCTACAGAAAGGAAAGCAAAATCATACTTGATTCTGTGCTGGAGGTGCGCTCGACGCTCTTGGAGCTGAATGACTACTGCCAGCAATTAAACCGGCTCGTTGCACCAGAATGTATTGGCCATTGGGTGCTGAGCTTGTGCTCCCACTCGCCACGCTACTTGCACTGCTGCTATTCGAATTATCACTGCTATTGAGAATGTGCTGATATGTCGTATGTTGTTGCTGTTTCTAATACAAAGAAAAACAAAGGCACATTTATTTATTGAGTTACGTAGTAATTATATCATTGGCATAATATCGTAATGAATACAAATTATTTTATAAAAAAAATCAAATCAAGAATCATACTTGTTGTTGCTGTTGTTGATTTTGCTGGGCAAACACATGGCGCACTAAAACAGGAGATGGCTGACGTTGGATGAATGTGGTTTTCTTTGGAAATGCGATGCGTGGAGGACCATTTGTTGTCTGTTTATAAAAAAAAGGTAGAAGTATTGTTCACAAAAAATCCACTCAGCAAGAATTCCAAATTGTTCGCAGGAATAATAAGTGGATCATCGCTTTATTATACTATATCTCAATCTAAACTTTCGCTTAGTTTGACATGCTACAAAAATCCAACAGACTCATATATTGCTAATTACCTTGAACATGACTTTGTTTGTTTTGGCAGTTGTTTGTTCGACGTCGGAGATTTTCCTAATGAATTTCGTAACAGTGGTACTTTGTGTGGTAGCTGAGCTTGTGATTTGAACATTTTTTGCAAGCATTGAGGGAGGTGGCCGAAGCTGTGCCTTCAGTTGATGACGATTTGGACTGTTCTGTATGACGGCGCGACAAATTTCATAGCTTCTTTCCAAATTGACAGCACCTGGCGGTGGTCGATCGGTTGTTGTACGACTACCTCGTCCACGTTTTGTAGCTGCGGCGCCTATTGGCTTAGTAGCTACTACAAATATATACATGAGCAATGTTAAAATAAATGTTCAACCGAAAATAATAATGAATTTCACTTACATCCATTGTCTCGATTGTTGAAATTTATAATTGTTGGTTGAATGATTTGCTGTTGCTGTTGCTGTTGTTGTTGCTGTTGTTGTTGTTGTTGTTGTTGTTGTTGTGTTTGTGTTTGTGGTTGTACTTGTTGTTGCAATTGATGTGTTACAAGTTGTCGATGTGAAATTGGTATCTGATACCGGGCTGTGTTTTGTACGCTGTTCAATGTAATATCGAACTCATTAAAATTGAACCGAATAAATGTACTTATTTTTTTTGGATGAGACATTCATGGAAAAGAAAAATGTGAAACAGAACAATCACTCACTTTTCGGCTTGAACAATGGTTGCTGTAGGGGCCTGATTCAGTTGAATTTTGTGCGTGCGTTGAATTGTTCGTGTTGTCAAAGGATGCGTATTGCTTGTATTTGTTTGTGATGATTGTCGTTGCAATTTTGCTTGTACTTGCGATTGCTGCAATTGTATTGTGTTTGCAAAAACGATGCCTCCTTGCATTTTGTTTATGTTTTGTTGTAGCTGCTGCTGTTGAATACTTGGTTTAGTTATTGTTGTTTTTGAACCTTCTCTGATTGTAGTAAAATTTTTGCTGCTCGACGGAGCAAGTGCTAGTTGGAACGATGAATCGGATTGCTGACCTTGTGACTGCTGTGCTATCGAATTTGGTATAGACACCATCGTTGGAACACATACCAATGTATGCTGAAATGGAAATGAAGAAAAACGATAATAAATTTGAATCTTAACTCAACCAATGATAATGAACAAACTGGGATAAAATAAAAATCCAGCTAACTTTAAAATTATTTTCAGTGCCAGGTTGTATATTTACTACAGATGAATTTGTGGTAACAGCAGAAACGGTAGATATTGTAGACATCTCGTTACTGTGATCGCTGTCATTTGAATTATTCGAGTTACCACTAACAACTGTGCTCGTTACCTCCATCTCGGGAGCCATTGATGCATCAAGATCCAATTTCATCTATTGAATAGCATTAATGTGTGTACATCATTCAGAAGAAATATTTCCACACAGGATCCCCATTAGAGCTTTCAACGAACATCGAATGTTCGTTCGCAAAATTTTCCACACCGGGATAATCCTCAACAAGCAACAACATCATTTCCAAAATGATGCTCGTTCAAGCTCCGAGCGCTACGAACGTGCTTACTTCGCGACGCACTTGTTCAATATTGTTGAACATTGCCGTCAAAATGTGCGGTGATGTTGGTTTCGTGTACTCATTGGGACTATCCAGATGATTTTCCCATTTTTGTTCGTTTGTTGAGATAAATGCTGCAAACGAACGGCGTCCGTTGACAGCTCTAATCTCCGTTATTGTTGGTAATAACAAAAATTTGAATAAAAACTTACCTGTTGCGCATTTGTAAGAATTATTGGCTTATTTTTCAAAATTAGTTGCTGTTGCATTTTTTGATATGTTTGCTGAAGATGTCGTTGATCTAATGTCGATTGTTGCAGCTCCGATAGCTCAGCAGCAGTTGGTTGAATTTGCTGTTATAAGAAAATTCATATTTAGTAAAAGTGAAATAGGGATTTTGTAAATTTGTTTCATCACCGTATGATCAATCCATTCATTTCCAATCAATATCTCTTGCATCGGTATAACCTATTTAAAAATCGAATTGTTGGTTTTCATTTTGTGTGGTTGGTTGGAGAAGAAAAAAAACGGACAAACCTCAGAGCTTTCAGTTGGATTGACAATCGCCATCGTGACAGGCACATTTCCAGGAACAGTATCAAAAGCTAGAAAAAAATTGCACATTTAGCCATATTTGTTTGAAAATTTAGTGTCAAATTGTGCGGTTTTTGTTTTCAAAATATGTTTATAGTATTGATGAAAATTGAAGAGTAAGGAATCTGAATAAAATTATTTATAAAGTCTGCTGTGAAACTATCATTACTATTGCTTTAATTCGTTTGGTCGTGCATATAATGAAAGTACAAACCTCCACCATCGCTACTAATTTCGCCCGATTCAATAATATAACTTTGCGCATCATTGAACTTTTGATCCAGGTCCAAGTTTTGAATAGTTGGTTCAAGTTCTTCAACATTTGTGTCGGCACTATTGTCACCACTACTATCATCACATATTGTCATGCTGCTTCCAATCAACAAATTATTGCCGTCCACACCAACGTCTAACATGTTTGTACTTGTTTTATTGTCAAAATCCCAGTGGTGCTGCCAAAGATTAGAGATTTTACAATTGGTTTTTTTTCACAACATTAGTTAGATATTAAAGCATTCAAATTAAGTTTGAAACTCATATTTGAAATCGTCATTGTATAAACATACCTTGGGGGATGAGGTTGACTGTTTGTCGTCATCATTTACATTAGATTCGATGATTTGATCGCTGATTAGGCATTGATCTATGTCGTCCGAACTCAAGTCTAAGTTATCAGCATTGTGTGCTAAAATAGAACAAATGTGGAAGAAAATGTGTAAAAAGGGTTATATCCACATTTATGCGCAGATGACCATGTTTTAAATTTACTTCATTAGTGGCATAAATTACCTGTATCCATTGGTGTATCTGGACCATTGTTCACACCCATTGACATATCATCAATCATTGCCATTTCATTACAATCTATATCCAACTGATAATCATAGACTGGGTCAGACTGTTGATCACTTGTCTCTTCTATGAATTCATTTGCGTCCCTTTCGATCGGAGCATCAGGATCATCGCGATCGTCCTTCAATGGCATGTGACAGATATAATTATTATTTAGACATGCATTGGATGGATTTAACTAAACAAATTGCAAACACTCACCGAAATCACAATGATAGATGGTGAATTTCGTGGATTTTCTTCAATAATTTCTTCAACACCCTCAATCATACTATCATCGATTGAATCAGTTTGTGTAATGAGGACATGATCATCGCCACTGTAAAAACCAAATTAAGATCATGAATTATTATGTTCATTTGAAATTAATATTAATTGATTTTCCTACATTATTGCATCATCTATCGCTATTCCAACATCTGGAGGTGGTGCTTTAACGGTCGAGATGGAAATAGTATGTTTTAAATTGCCACTTCTATCAGATCTATTAAATTCAGGATTTGTCACGGTGTGTGCATGTATACTTATACTAGTTTCAACAGGATGCTGTTGTATCTAAGAGAAAATATATCAATATTCAATGGTGAGTGACGGGGTTGCTTGAAAAATCATTGAATGAATTATTCATTGGCTATTGTGCCTGTGTCTATACCTGTGCTCGCTGTGTTTGAGATTCACGTAACATTTTTAGATTGATCGCAGACATTGTGATGGCATTCGATATTTTCGGTGATTCGTTGCTACTGGAAACAAGTGCAGTGAAATCGTTCAATTTGGTCAGCTTATTCGTAATGTTTTCTGGGCTAAATGATCGTGTTGCGGACCGTTTTCCAAATGTTATTGTATGATCCGATGATGACATCGGAATGAGTTCTATATCCGCCGGAATGTCATGTGGTATTGATTTCCCTACCGCATTCTCATCCCTTCGAATGATCTCGATGTCTGGATAGTTCGATAATGAACCGCTCTCATTACGATTAAATGGCTTATTGATAATTTTGTATATGGTTCGGTCGCTCGTACTTTCGTCACTATCTTTAATAATTTTAGTTTTCGTCGATAATACGTCGGACGCCAATGATTTGATTACAGTCTATAAAATAAACCCATACAGTTAAAAATTGGTCATATAAAAAATAAAAGTGTTTTGTTTGCAAAACGGTTTCGGAAAGTCCAAGTGAAACGATTGATTTAATCAATGTATTTTGTTTTGAAAAAAAAAAAATTCGACAAACCTTTGTGAAGTGCTTTGTTTCGCTAGTCATAATTGGCATGATCGTTGGTCCAATCACCTTAACAGATGTAACTTTTTCAGAATTTTGTATTGGATGTGTCAGTGTAACCATTTCTTGACTGTGCATTTTACCAGCACTCAGTGAACTATTGACATTGGAGCCGGACGATGAAATTAGTGAACGTGTCACAGCACCAATACGAACTTTTTTCTGCGATTGAAGCATATTTGTACCAATAATTGGATAGTTGTTTGGATTTTTCACTATACGTCCACTACTTGTCGTGTAGTTATTTGATACAGATGCTGAAGGAATTTCATCCGACTGCTGTGATTCGTGAATAGTTTTTAAACTGATGGTTGTTTTCAGTAGAGGTCGATCCGTACTATTTGTCAAAATTTTTTGCTTTTCATTAGCAGAATTGGTTTGTTGAACTGTTTGGTAGCTAACTGCCGGTCGAGATCGAAGTGTAAGATCATTTTTGTTTTTCATGTCTGAATTTTTCATAGCTGATTGCGTGGATGGTGATTTTCGTTTATTTTTTGCATCCGGAACCGTACTAACTATTGTCACCGATTCTTTTAACAGACCACTTGTTTTTGTTGCAGCGACGTTTTTGTGGGACACACTTCGCTTTGAACTAATTCGATTCGTTAGCTTTGCTTTGGTACTTTTTGTACCCCAAATCGGTTCGAAATGTTTCAATTTCCATGGGTCTAATTTTATTTTCTCTTTTTCAGCTTCGGTACGTAACTTCAGCTGATTTTCTGGTGTGAATTCTCCATCGGCTAATCGTTCCTTCCATTCTAAGCAAGCACGCGTGAAAAATTCATTAGTTAAACTAGACGAGTTCAGTCTTATAGTTTCTGTTTCGTTATCGATCACCGGACGATCAACGCTCGGCAACAGTTGAACTAATTTGTATTGATAAAGCGGTGGTAGCGCGTTAAATGTATCCTTATTCAATAGATCACGTAAATTGAAGCTAACCAAAATCGAGTCTGGCGTTTCGAGGTCGATGCAACCTTCGCGAGTTTGCTCAATTTGAGCAGCAGTTGACAATTTTTTGTTTGTTCGACGCCTTGGTTTAATACTAAAGCCGGGAATTGAAGCCAACACCTCGCGCATCGTAGACACTGGATACTCTCCACCTTTCCTTGTTTGTAGCAATTTCTGCGGTTGTTTCTACACAATAAAAAAAACGATACAACGTTTTAGGACTGGTAATCGAACGGAGGAATTTGAACAAGGGGCAAATACTTACGTTCCCATAACTTAGACCTGAATCTTTATCGGTTGTTGTATGCGAAACTAGCGGTGATGTCGATGATCTTATATTTATCAGTTTACGACTTTTGGGCGGTGTTATATTTATGATTTTCCTATTTTTGGGGAATCCATCTACGTTGTCGGACTTAATCACATCATTATTTAGACTTGATGATTCTGAATAGAGCACATCATCCTCGTCCAATCCATTACAATGCTCTACAGTACCCAGAGGATCTACCTCTTGTTGTGACGTTGGTATCACATCACATTCCATGATGTATTTATAACTGATCGGATCCAAAGTCTGAAAATATTCGGTTTTTTTAATATACAGAAACCATTCGTTGTCATTCAATCAAATTGAACAAACTTAGCATGCACTTTAATGAATAAATTCAAAGAACATCTAAACTGAGTTTTCTGCGAACAACATCACTTTTACGCTAACAGCAATTCGTACACGAACGAGTCAGTGTGACGGTTGGTGTGAGCGAGACAGGATTTGACAGAAAACAATTTGGTTGTATCAGTTTAAATGTTCGTTGTGTGTATTGTCTACATTTTTGTAGTTTCGGAAATGATGTATGTGAATGCATTTTTTAAAATCCCGATTGGGAAACGTTTCTCTTGAGAAAAAAATGCGTCAATGAGACACAGATATTCAACAATCAAATCAAATTGCGCTGCCGATTTCATTACATGGGCCTAGGCCTCCAGCAAGTCAATTCAATAAGAAATCGAACCTAAAATTGTTGGACCTATTCTTCATCAACGAAGATTTGCGATGCTACTAAACTGTTACTGACGGAGAAAATCGACCTTTGTTGAACCACCCATTTTGTTGATTGAATTTGAATGGCATCCGATCAACAATGGTTTTGACAACCAGAATAACAGAGTATTCAAATTCAAACGGGTTGATAATCAACCGTTGATTATCAGCGCATGAATGAATATTTTGTTGCCGTCAACTTCGATGACTTATTCGCAAACAAATCACTTGCGGTGAAGATGTCATCCTTCACGATGTGCTAGCGAAAGCCATTCAAGTTCCAACGTATTTCCGCAAGAACAACCAAAAATGCCCATGGAAGAATCGTGAGCTTCAGTGGCTTAAAAACAGGAGGAAAAAAGCGTGAAATTACTATTCATTGATAACGGACAAGCAGCCATTTGAAGAATTGCACGGATCTATACAATCAATATGTCGAAAAATATGTTAACTCTAAGAAGAGCACTGATAACATACCAAAAACCACGCGATTCGGCGACACCAAGACATCCAGCGAATCTGAGGAAGCAAATTTATTTGCCGACTTCTTCGGAAGCAATTACTCCACCTCTACAACACCGAATAATCAACCGTCACTTCAGTCTGAGAACGCCTCTTGTTTCCAGCTTTACTTTGATTTTGTCATGACCAAAATGACGAAGGTCAATACAAAGAAATGTGTTGGACCAAACGGTATTCATCCCTTGATATTAAAGGAGTGTGCTTCAACGCTTGCTAGTCCGTTGACTTCAATCGCTTTCATCCAAGCACCGGTTCGGATATAGAAATGTGCAAGATAAATATGCAAAGCATAGACGCGTACGGACGACCGTGCGACGAACGTATCAACGGGCGATCGTGCATTGCGAGACGTGTGTGTATAAATACAGTATACAGCAAACAACGATGGCTCTGGTGATACGTCCGTCGCACGGTCGTCCGTATGCGTCCATGCTTTGCATATTTATACAGTATAGAACATCTAGGTAAACATATTTCTATGTCCGAACCGGTGCTTGCTTTCATCCGGCATATTTGCTAACGAATGGAAGCGATCGAGTGTATCGACCATATTCAAGAAGGGCACGGAAACATCAAACATTGAAAACTACAGATGCATAGCAAAACTTTTTAGCCAACAAATCTAACCAACGATCGCTAAATTCTTCGAGCAACTCGACAACTTAAATTTGCTTGAAATTGTTCGTGATCGCATCTCGCCCAACCAACATGGATTTATGAAAGGTCGATCTACAGCATCAAACCTATCCGAGTGGTTTGAACATTGGAGCTCAAGTTGATGTCCTGTACACGGACTTTACGAAAGCCTTTGATCGTTTTACAGCATCTTGATTCAAAAATTGAGGACATTCAATCTACCTCAAAATTTGCGGACATCGCCTGGAGAATCGTGTTCAATTCGTCAAACATGAAACAAGTGAATCGGACGTTTTTACAGCTTCATCGGGTGTCCCTCCGATGTTCCTGCTGTTTATCAACGACATCGTGTATCAAATGCCCCCAGACATCATGATATTATTGTTTGTTGATGACATCAAAATTGCCAAAATCACCAAATCTCAACAGAGATTCAGAGTTACTACAGCAAGCCATTGACAATCTGAAACATTGGTGTGACGTGAATCTGCTGCAACCATTGGTGTGACGTGAATCTGCTACAAGAAACGTCAGCATTTGAATATAAGCTACACCTATGGTGACCACACCTTCGACGAAGTGACTGAACACAAGGACATCAAAGACAGAAAACTATCATTAGTCAAACATATTGACATGGTCACTTCGAAGGCAACGGCTGCACTTGGCTTTGTCAAACGCTTCATCTATGACATTACTGTCACCACACTAAAGTCACTGTATTTCGCATTGGTTCAATCTCACCTCGATTACTGCGCCATGGTGTGGCTTTTATTCCACAAAATGTACGCTCGTCGAGAAAACCCATCCGTTGTTGTCGGACTTGAACATGATCAATCTTCGCCGTCGACGAGTCAACTCGTCATTGACCTTCTTCTACGACATCATCAATGGAAACGCAAACTGTCCTTCAGTTCGTGACAAAGTCTCACTTAATTATGGACGTACATTGAGACACAGCGAACATTTCAAGGTCAATGATAAACATATGAAACATTGGTGCGTGAGGATCCAATTTCACAAATTTGCAAAATGGCGAACATGGTGCCGGAACTGTTCACAACAGCTACCTCGAAGGCGAATTTTGCATCATCGGTTCGCAGAACAACGGACACCACTTTTGAATCGCTATGCAAACTCAAATGACTACCTGGCCACTCAGTCAATTTCTCATCCAGGTAACCTCATCCGAACCTCGATCTCGACCTAGACGAATCCACCAAAGACAACGCAGCATATTGCCCGTGTATCACACTTTAATTGGAATGCTGCTAAATAAAACCAACGTGAAAGTGGCTAGGATCCCAAACTCAAACTACCCGTTCTGGATTCAACTCATCGTAGCAATCAGTGACACACGATACTAATTTTCATTCAGAACGACTGACGAATTGTTTTCTTACATTCCCCCTATATGTATAGAAATAATGATACCTATCTGTGATTTTTACATTTATATGTTGTCAATTTGATATTGATCTGTGTTGTAGCCATCCATTGAGTTGGCGAACTAATATTCCAAATTCTATTCAATTTTGAATAAATTGCCAAATAGCAAGCCTCGATTTCATGTATTACTTTACATTAAAGCCGTCAAATGACTGCTGCTAGCGACGTCTCACTGCGACAACGTCAACTACAGTATACACCGTGCACTTCTTCTTTTTCTTCTTCTTAACTTATGCCACTTTTTTCTGTTGTGAGTATGAAGCTTACGTTGTCGCAGTGAGATGTCGCTTCAGCACCATATGGAAAAAGAAATCAAGACTCGCCAAATAGCATCGAATGCTCTGTTATGTTTCATCATGGTTTAATGATAAACTCAGAGCACTCTGCAATCAACATGGATCTGCCTAAACCGACGTAAAACTTTTCGTCAATTTATTTACTGGTATTTATTAGCCTCACATAGCCTTTGTCCCTCTGGAAACGTTTAACAAAGGTTATCTTGGACCGTTTGTATCTGACTACAATCAAGCATTTCCATCTTTGTTGTATGACTATGTTTTTGATTTCATGTCCTACTTGTGTAAATGCTGAAAAAAATACGAACACAGCCAGGTTTTTAACGAGGCGAGAATTGATTGTTATTGTTAATCATTGTAAATTATTATAGATTGATGTAACAGACTTGCACTATTTCCCAGTCAAAACTATTCTATTATATTCAGCCAGAGCTTGGCGGAATAAAAATAAAAAAATAAAAATTAAATAAATTTTTTTTTATGAATTTCGACCTGAAAATTGTTTTGAATACGTTTCAAATTTTGTTTGTTGACACCTCTAAACATCTCTTAATCCGTTCCGCGGAAAAAATCGAGTATCCCACAAATGAAATGTTCCAATATTTTACGTAAACTTTTCCGATTTTCTCTAACAATTTCTTTACAATTTTCAAGCTATTTTCTTAACAATTTAACAACAATTTTGAGCGATTTGATTCAACAATTTTTGGAGGCACTAGATATCAGCAAACCAATCATCCAATTGCATATGATTTAGTTGCAATTTTTAATTAGCAGACATGTTGCATGGGTCTTTTTCATAAACAAAAAATAAGATCATATTTTAACTTCTTCTTCTTTTTCCAATCAGATGGAGATGCATCGTTAACTCCTTCATTAATTTATTTCAAACACATTCAACTGTTCCCACTAGCCAGCCAAATATTGCACGTGTATGTGTGTATTTAATATAAATCGGTATAAAATCGTAGTGTGCATAGATGGGCACTCATTGTGTTTGGAACTGTTGAACCAATAAATTTTAAATTGTGTAAGATTTTCAGGCCAAAAATCACTTTCATTTTCTTTTGTCGCCAAACACATCCGTTGTTATATTTGATAATTTGTTTATTTCCTCTCGTGGATAATTTGCATTTGAAAACAACAGTATTTCACATGCTAATTCAATGCCCATCAACTGTATTGACCATGCAATCTTTTACCGAAAAAAAATACCAACTGACATTATATATTTTTGTACATGGGCGATTTGGTGTACGATTTGTTTTTGGTACGCTCGATTTGTATTAGAACTATAGCGGCGTCTAAAGAAAAATGAAGCCACAGATAATAAGTGCAGCTGAGTGTTTCAGCAATGACATCTTCTTCCTTAGTCTGTGTTTCGAATCAATTCGGTTGCTATTTACTCGAATTTTGTGTTTTCAACACTTTTCTTTATTTTAATGAGTAATTTAGATGAGGAAAATTGTGAAAATGAATTACACTACGAAAACTAACATTTGAATCGAATGACCAACTGCACCTTAAACTTCACACTCGAAAATGGAAGTCCCGAATATTTATTGCTTTTGCGAAACTTTTGGATTTTTCTTTTGTTATTCCTTTAATTTTCATATTAACAACATAAAACTGAAATTCAATGCACTATTTTTCAATATTTGAACAAAAAAAGTCACTTTTTCATCGATTTGACAATACTCATAAACATAACATTCGATATGCAGACATCATTGAGTGTATTTTTCCCGTAACTCACTCAAAATTATTCAACTAAATAAACTGCATATATTATCGAATAGTTTAGTAAAAATCCTTTGATTTTTTTTATCAACAATAAAATTTCACATCACAAGCAAGCACTTTTAGTTTATACTTCAACTAGAGGTATACGCAATACATGTTTGTAATCAAAAAACTAAATTCTCATCACAATTTTTTTTTTGAAATTTGTTTGATACTCTTTTTTTATTCGCTTTGCATTTTAAATGTTTGTAAGAATATACAATAATGTATGTTGTATTTGTCTCTTTCTCGATTGTTTGGTTTTCTTTTCGCTGGGATATTCAATTTGGTACTATTCAGAAGTTTACGACATTTTGCACAATTTTTGTTTCTTCTTCTCTACGTTTGTATGTATATTTATTTGCGTTTGCATGAATGTGCGAGCAAAAAAAAGAAGAAAAAAATCTATTTTTCTCATTATTCTGCTCGTGTTCAAGTTGTGTTGAAGGCTTGTTTTCATTGGTCGAACATAGTGTACATGTGTGCGTGCGATTGTATCAAAATACATACATGTTTCAGTCATTGTATCCCGAGTGAGCGTGCGTTTGATGAATGTGTATTGGATTTTATTTCTTTCGATGAAGAATGAAACGCAAATATTCACCAACATATTGTGATTGACAGCTGGTTGATTGGACTATGACCATCCAGATGGCGACAGCAAGCCATATGATTGCTTTTATTCCAATTTAACAATATTTGGCAAGATTTTCATCGAAGTAAAAGCAATAAAATCGTTTATTTCGAAATGAAAATGTAAAACTTTCTTTTGTTTGGAATAAAACAAATAGAAAAAAGCATTTTGGTTGAAATCTGATTTATTCCACATACAGGTTGCAGCGCCTACAGTGGTTGCTTCGTACGTCACAGTCTGAGCTTCTAAGTCAATGTGCTAAAAAATAAGTAAATAGCTTTAGATGTGTGTAATTTAGGAATATTTTCATCTTCAACACGAAAAATAAATTTTTTTTTCCACAAAAATTCTCTTCAATTAACAATCCGAAGAAAAAGACTAGAAACACTTTGAACTTATTTAATGTATTTTTCTTTCAAATACACTTCGAAAGTTTTGACATTTAAAAGTATAGTGAAAATATCTCAATCGTGACAAAAAAGTTTGCGTTATTTTGTTGACATCAACTGTCAAAGTCAAATTCATTTCGGTTCATTTGTACGCACACAACTCAAGTCTTCTCTCATAGTTTTTTTCATTGAAGTTTCCACAACTCAATGGTAGCTTACATTTTCTAAAATTTGTTCAATTTATTTTTGGAATAGTTAGCGAAGAATTTTGCTATTTTCGATTTAATTTCGGAATAAATATGAAGCCAACTGTTGTAGCCGATGAAATGTTTCCCGAAGGTGCTGAGCCTTTCATGGAATTGGATGTGGTATGGATTTTGTCGTTTAAAGAAATCTGATGTGAACGAATATAGAAGAACCATAAACAAAAAATGCAACTTATTTCTCCAACTTGGAATTGCTGACATAATTTTTTAAAATTTACAGGCAGGTGGCTCAAGCGGATTAGCAAACGAGAAAGATGTCCACGCCGATTTTTTCAATGGTATACAATTGTTTTATTTTTCGTTGGCCAAATGCGTCAATTGAAATGATATTGTTTTGAAATTTGAAATAGATTTCGAAGATTTGTGTGATGAAGACGGAGAGACAGCACCATCCATTTAATTGTGATTGTCAAACGCAAAACCTACGCTCTTAAGTAGGTAGGTATAGACCATATTCAGTGTATAAATTCGAATGAATAAATAGATGGGCAGATGGGCTCATCCAGTTGAATCAAACGTTCGATTTTGTGACTTTCATGCTGGCTAAGCCCAGCTACAAATATTCATTTATTCCAATATACAGTGTATGTTATACACTCTGGCCCATTCATGACATTTTTAATATCACATAAAATAAATTTTCATTGAATCTGCTTTGTTTCACTTTTCAGAAGAAAAAATACGGATAACTCTTACCAAGCTATTCGTGATAAGTGATTAAAAACGAGCTCATCCACCAATCAAACTATTATTTTTATGGAAAAATGGAAAATCATTTAATCGAATAAAGATAAAAAAAACTAATTTGGCGATTGATTCTAAAATAACATTTTATTTGGCTCATTTTTGTCCATTTTAACCACCCCGGAGGAATGGCGAATTCGTTTGATTCTTCAACAGTTCAGGACTGTGGCGCAACTTCACAACTACCGATATCTTTAATATATTTAAATTTTAGTTAACTTCTTTCTCCATTTCACCGTGCAACACATGTTAAAACACATTGGGGTTTCAAATCTACGTTGATAGAGGACACCAATACAAACATGTCTGCATCATTACTTTCTCAGGAAGACGTCTGAATAAGAAAGTTATGGGGTTTGGTAGCCATTTCTTTAGCATATGAACATAATTCAGTGAATTTTCGATTGAAACACTGAAATTATGATAGAAATCTATATTA